GAACTAAAGAATCGAGTAATTCTTTCCCAGGACACGAAGCAGCGAGGCCACTGGATCATTCAAAACGCGTCCGAGACGCGGTCCACAAGGAGGGTTGCTGGCCTCAAGGGAGCCCGAGTGCTGACCACTCCTGCCAATCCTCCGAGCTTACTCAGCGGCAGCAGCAGAACGTGAGAGCGACAGGGCGGCAGGTCTGCCTCGGCTCTTCTCTCTCGCTCGCTCGCTCGCTCGGCCTGAACGCTCAGGTATAGGCTCCGGCACACAGCGAGGGTAACAGCTCACGGAGAATCCTGCTAACTCGTGGCGCGGAGGGTCTTCGAAGTACGGACGGTAAGTTGAAGGTACAGTTTCAAGAGGCTACCATCCCGCACCCGGTCGCTTTAACCCTCCAGAAAAGAATCCCCTGGCTGAGTGAGCCCCAGAGCCCGATCTGGGCGTATTGGCTATAAGAAAAAATACCTATTCCTTCCGGGAATCGAAACCCGGTCATCCAGTTAGCAGCCTATGGCCACTACGCTGATTAATCCTTACTCGCGAAAGAGGTGACTGAAAGAAACTTTGCTCTAGCAGCTACAAAGTCTCATTAAAATAAGGACCACCGACAGGGAGATGGGAAGATAATATTAAAATGAATCGAGGTGATGGTAATGTGGAATGAGGTTATATGACTCACGATCGGTTGTTTTTATTGAGGCTTTTGGTTGAAATCACAGAGAATTAACCAAATCACGTGTCGATTTTTAGGCTTTAACGAAGTTATCTAAATATTAGAGCGTGTAGAATTTTGATTTCCTGATTAACCCTTCGTAGCCGATTGAATAAGAAATAAGATAAAGTAGGAAAAATACTGAGAGACGCCATATATACGTTTATGGCTATGAAGGTTCCCAGGCAGCACCCACTCGTCCTTTTGATAAAGGTAGGTATGTTGAAATGAAGGTAATTCATTCGGAAGTGTCTTCGTGCACTCGATAGGAATTATTAATTCTGTCTGATTTTAACCTTAGACGGGCCGCTTCTGGTGAAATTTTGGCAGCAATATAGAGAGCTCGTTCAAATAATGTTTTACTGTTCAGTCCGTACCGCACAGAAATCACAACACTTCTCCATGACAACAATCAAATGGCTTTCACTGGTGTTTATTCAGCGAATAACGCAAAATTTTTTAAATACACGCTGTGGGGAAAAATGCAGAGTTGCAGAATGATTAATGTAGGTGGTGCATATAATTACCACCGGGCCTTCAGGCGTGGAGCTTCGCAATTGTCTCCTGGTGCTATGGCTCCGGGCACGCGACGGCTTTCGAGGATGCGCGCAGGTGAACGGCGTCATGACTTAGTTCCAATAACTTCATTTTATTTTAATTCTGGCGAGCGCAAACGAACGACGCACGCTTAAGGCGTCTTCAAGCATCACGCGCCACACGAAACTTCCACATCCCAGTGACAGGAAAAAGGCACTCCGACATGGGCTAGGCCGAAAATGCTCTACTCGTCGCAACCGAAACTGAACATAATCCTTATTATTTTCTCTTGCGTTATAAAGCCCTTTAAAGTCGAATATTAAATTTGTTTCAGTTAATTTAACTCTGCATTTTATATGTTTCTATTCCGTACGATTCTCACTGTAAACAGCGATTATTTCCTTAAACAGCGTCAACCAGTTGATCTTTGTAATGGTGAAGCGTGGTGTTTTCTTCGCGGTACGGACTGAATCTTTAAATATTATTTAGATGCCTACGCACTGTATCTATGAGTTTCGTGTGATTCTCACTGTAAACAGCTATTATTTCCTTAAACAGCGTTAACCAGTTGATCTTTGTAATGGTGAAGCGTGGTGTTTTCTTCGCGGTACGGACTGAATCTTTAAATATTATTTAGACGCCTACGCACTGTATCTATGAGTTTCGTGTGATTCTCACTGTAAACAGCGATTATTTCCTTAAACAGCGTTAACCAGTTGATCTTTGTAATGGTGAAGCGTGGTGTTTTCTTCGCGGTACGGACTGAATCTTTAAATATTATTTAGACGCCTACGCACTGTATCTATGAGTTTCGTGTGATTCTCACTGTAAACAGCGATTATTTCCTTAAACAGCGTTAACCAGTTGATCTTTGTAATGGTGAAGCGTGGTGTTTTCTTCGCGGTACGGACTGAATCTTTAAATATTATTTACATGCCTACGCACTGTATCTATGAGTTTCGCGTGATTCTCACTGTAAACAGCGATTATTTCCTTAAACAGCGTTAACCAGTTGATCTTTGTAATGGTGAAGCGTGGTATTTTCTTCGCGGTACGGACTGAATCTTTAAATATTATTTACATGCCTACGCACTGTATCTATGAGTTTCGCGTGATTCTCACTGTAAACAGCGATTATTTCCTTAAACAGCGTTAACCACTTGATCTTTGTAATGGTGAAGTGTAGTGTTTTCTTCGCGGTACGGACTGAATTTTAAAATACAATTTAGACGAGCTTCAGCCTTAGAGGGTTAAAGAAATATAATTCCAACAGATGTTTTGTATTTATGCGAGAACTGATCTCTCGCGTTAAGAGAATACCAGAGAATTTCGATCTTTGAGATGTGCTGAGAAGAATCTTTCGACGAAGAGTGATGAAGTGACATGAGATTGAATAAAATAGCGCACTGGAAGCTTCGTAGTTCATACTCTACACCAAATATTACTAGCATGATTAAATTATGGAGACTAAGTTGGGTGGTGCATGTAGTAGGCTACGTACGGAGAAATAAGAAATTCATGCACAATTTTTGTCGGAAACCCTGTAGAGAAGAGATGAATGAAAACAGATATTGACGAAATTTGGCGTAAAGGTGAGGTGTTCATTCAAACGGGTGATGATGTGGCCCTAGGGACAGGCAATGAACCTTCGGGTTCCGTAAAAAGCGGAGTTTATTTGACCAACTGAGAACTGTCACATTTTTAAGCAAGATCTGGCTCCAAGGAGTTCGTTATATAGTTAAGCGACCGATAAAGACTACAAGTTTTGGTGCAATGCTACAGACCAAATTTAATCAGAATCCGTTAAGTACTTTCGGAGATAAAACTCGCGAAGGGAGGGAACGGGTCTTCGCATTACGCCTTCGTTTTAATACTCCGTGCAGAGAACTGATAAAAGTGAAGAAGTATAAGAGGATTCGGAAACAGAGAGCTCAGCTGAAGCGTTAAGCTGTTCTTGGAACCCTGACGAAAGGCAGGCGTCGTCACCGCCTGTGTGGGATTTCAGAACGACGCGACACGCCCCCAGATCTACGAGTTTAATTGCATTACGCCTGCGACCGGCTGTTTCGATTTTCCGCAACACACTTTCGTCGGATAAGTTGCCTACGGTCACGGCGCTCTACATGGCATTTTGATAGTTTCATTCATCTGAATAAAGACGTTCATTTAAGTTCATTTAAAAATTCAGTCCGTACCGCAAAGAGAGACGTTATCAACAGTAACGAGTTAAACTGATACTAATAATACGGCTCATTCGATATATTACGATTACGAAAACTATTGTGAAAACTGACTTTATGATCGATTTTAAGACGAAGATTTTCAAGGGTGGGGCTGGACGTAGAAAGTTGACTGACCAAGAACAGTCGGCCTCTGAACAACGACGTAAAGAACTAATACAAAGGTTGTGCTTGATGAACTTAGAAAACTCTTTTCTCCTCGACATTTTCGCAACAAATATCGTGTTTAGAACGACATAATTCTCATTCTCATTATTTCAAATGTGCGTACTCCATTTAGAGTCAATCTATTTATTTCCAAAATCATGTACTTTTGACGGTCACCAACAACAATTTCTTTCGTTCCACGTACGTAGTGTTGTTAACATTCCGTACAGATCTGTTTGTGTTTGATACTCCAATAAGTCTCTGAAGTTTGTCGCGTTCGTTTGTGGTAAGTTCATTATCAATATTTGGTTTCTATAACGTTCTTGAAGTTGATCACCATTTCTACATGTTTTTGTATTCACCGTCTGATAGTCAAACAGGTTTTGGATTTCAATAGGTAAAGTCTCGAAAATGTTGTAGATCGTTTCGGACACACTTTGGAAACCTCTTCTCAAATCTCGATTAAGATTTTGTCGTATTGAAATGACATTATGTAAGTTTTGAGGATGACTGTGTCCGTTTTATATCTCGCAGATCAATTGTGCACCATTGTACCGTTGTATTCATTGAATATCATTTCTTTTAGACGTTAGACGAACGTAGCAGCTGAGTGCAACATGTTTAGTGAGTAAATCAAAAAGCAGTCTGATCCATTGGCATTCTCCAGTTTCAAATGTTCGATACAATTGGTACAAATTCACGTGTAATCGTCGTTTTATTCAGCTTTACAAAACTTGACTTAACAAACATGGCTGTGGAGAGAAACTTTGGGGTTGGCTGGTAATATTTACGACGCGGCGATAATGCAGACAGAAGAAAGGGGCTATCACGGAAACACACAGTGTCCCAGTCACATAAGGATGACATTTTGCTACAACTATCCTCAGTTACGTTTTGCTCAGTCGGTACATGCAAGTCCTCAACTTCAATGAATACACTAGACGTGTAGATTTTCCATGCATCTTTCCTAACCACGTGCCGTACGAGTAATGGTTTTCGGGATTCACCTCAGACACTACAGAAAACTCTGTGGTAGTTCCTTAAGCAGGGCAATTTCGCCTTCTTTAACGGCGTTCACAATCATTACACCGTCACCTTCAAATGACATATGCAGTAAAGGAAGTGCTATCAATAAACCATACCATGAGACAGACACTACCTCGGTCTGTCTGTCTTCTCGTTACTTCGTGCCTCGGTCTGTCTGTCTTTTCGTCACTTCATGCCTCGGTCTGTCTTCTCGTCGCTTCATGCTTCGGTCTGTCTGTCTTCTCGTCACTTCATGCCTCGGTCTGTCTGTCTTCCAGTCGCTTCGTGTCTCTCGGTCCGTCTGCTTCCCCGCCACTGCGCTGCGAGGTGAGACGGCCGGCCGGGCTGTGTCTCTCAGTGCGGCACGAGAGCTTCCTCTTGGCGGTCGCGGCAGCGCGCGCTGTCTCACGTGTGCAACAAAAGGAAATCGGAATGAGGTGACGCAATAGCCGCGGTACACGATCACGACTTACTCAGAAGCGTTCGAGAGATTCGCTGCTACTGCACCGAGCACTCACATTTGCGTGTGGAACTGATAAATTATCCCGATGTGACTTTCGATTTATAAAATCTTTTGATGATACAAGCAACCTGAGGAGCTATGACAGCGAGACTTGTCAGCAGCAGCAACAACAACAACAACAACAAAAACAAGCACAACAACAACAACAACAACAAGGACAACAGCGGAGGAATTTCTGTGGGAGTGGGCAGCAGGCCGTCAGACGGGCGCAGAGTGAGTCACAATGCGTGTTACATGTCTCACCCATCTTATCTTCCTTTGCCTCCTTACCCAAGTAAGATTTGGCAAAGTGCGCAAGTCACGAATCTTTTCATCATGTATTTGTTTCTAGTTACTGGTAACTGTCAATACCATTCTTAACCATATAACCACACAGGCCAGTCCCTAAAGACGATTTCACGACCTTGAATGAACCACAAAGCTACCTTTGTATACGTTTCCATCCTGTGAGATAGGATGATGTTGAAGGACGTTGAACTGTTTCGTTTTCCGGAGGAAGTGGCCGTGGCTTATTTCGAAAAATTACCCCAGCGCGATTCAAGCCTAGTATCTGATTTTCAGTGCTTTGGACTCCCCCCCCCCCCCGTGGAATTAACTACTTAATTACACTGTTTAAAGCGCATGATTTTACTCAGTACCACATGGCCTCTTGGACAACGAAATAATTATTATACTTTTTTTTACGAACGAGTCTCATGTCTCGCTCGCTCAACAGCAGAATGTCCGTCTGTCCGTGTGGATACAGAGGAGCATTAATAATAAATGCAGTCTGTTAAAACTGGAGAATTTTCTGAAGTAAAGTTTGATGATGTGGAACCCTTGGGCCCTTTGCCTTTGAAGCTGAATCACATTTCCTAAAAATCCTTCGCAGCATGAAGTTCTAACTAAGTAATTATTTAAAAAAATTTAAGTTTCTACCTCAAAGAAAACACGACATGTCTCCATGACAACGACGAATTGATTAAAGCTGTGTAAGGAAATTGTCGCTGTTTGCTCTGAGAATCACATGGAAACCATAAAGAGCCTACCTACGTTCTGCGGGCGAAGTGCACTGTCGCGAGTGTTGAAGCAGATCTTAAGACGGTAAACACCGTGCCTTGAAATGTCAACAGGGTCTTTGTTCGTGTTAAAATTCGCATGTCGACGGCGAAAAGCACGTTCGGTCCCTATGGAAATCGTCTTCCGCCTGAAACTCAGAATTTGCTTTCCGTCTGACTTTGACACTCGATTTCTTCTTTTGCTTATGTGTCACAGATGCTGTGCGTTCCTGCCTTCTTCAGGAAGCTTAAGCAAGTCTATTACCTCACCGTCTATACCTTCGGCTTGTTCTTTCTCAGTGCCTGCTCGTTCCTGGTTTCTGTATGGATTGAAAACACGTGATGTGATAAGTAAAAGCGACTTATCACCACGTATCATCAAAACTACCATCAACATAACCAAGAAAATTTTATTGTAATGTATTCAAAATGCAGATCATCTTACACGAGATCCAAGATTCTGACGTCGATGTTCATCTTCTGGGTTGCAACGCCGTGTGATATTTCGGGCAGATACCAACGTTTCGGACGAGTATACTGCCTACATCTTCAGGGCTGAAGATGTAGACAGTATGTTCTCGTAAACGTTGTTATCTGCCTGCTAAGTGCGCGCGGTGTTACAAGCCAGACGACGGATATCGACAGGATTTTATCTTGTCTTCTTTCCGAATCACGAAGATTAAGGAGGAAAAAAACCCCAATAATTCTGTCGTCTGTCGCGTGTCACCGCGAGGAGAATTTAAATTTCGTGTGTCTGAAAGCAAAGTGTTCAGAGAAATGTCTGGGCTGAAGTGAGTGAACGATTTAGCTGCTCTATAAGGACAGCAGTTAAGGCGAGCCCCACGTGGGAGGGCAGAGTGTGTTTCGCAAACACACAATCGCATATGACGAAGCGGATTCAAACGATTCCGGACGAATTAACAAGATGGGCGTGAGATTTCAGGTTCTCACGGCAACGATTATGACGATGGCTGTGATCTCGGATGCTACGCCGCGTACTCTGGATGCAGCAAGAACCTCTGAAACGTCGGCAAACTTATACCAGATAACACGGGGCAACATCCAAGAAGACAGCCATCTTCAAGATTGTGCGTGAGTCTGGCAAAGGTTCAGTGCCGGTGATAAAACTTCGGATTTCATGAACGCTGAGAATTATGAACACCCTGTATAATGTGAAACACCGATCGGCGTGTGGAATGAACTGACACGGTTACAATTCGGTTTCAGGCGAACAAGCCCTTGATGGAGAAGAGGAGGCGTGCGAGGATCAACCAGTCCCTGGCTGTGCTCAAGACCCTGATCCTGGACTCGGCTAGGCTAGAGGTAGGCTGCACGGCATTACACTCGGTTTCCTTCAGTCCGGTAACCAGGCAACAAATTCGGTATCTGATCGTCTCATGTTTTATTCACAATTAACTGTTGTCTTGGCAACTGATTTAAATACGTGACCGACGGAACCGCAAAATAAAGAATAAAAAATAACCCGCTCATTACGAGAACGAATGAATGACGGAAAAGTTACTGACGGACGAACTCTGTTACAGCAGAACACAAAACACTCCAAACTGGAGAAGGCCGACATCTTGGAGCTGACAGTTCGACATCTCCAGCGACAGAGGGCTCTGGGATCGGCGGTTCTCAACAAGTACAGAGCCGGCTTCCAGGAATGCACGAGAGAGGTAAGCGACTGTAAGCTGCGCCTTTTAGGGCGGTTCTTGGCTTAGACGCACGTCAAGTTGACACACGACGATTTCATTGTGTGTGTTGTCAGTGTAGATGATTAGATTAGATCTTTGATTAGTGTAAGACAAGACAACCTAACCTCACTTTTGCGCGAAAGAACGAATTCCGGTCTTCAGTGAAATACGTCCTTTATTGTTGTCATACTTTAACCAGAATTAAAACGGCTAGACAATATTCTGAGAAACGCCCGAGTATCAATTTTCTTGTAAATCCGTTCAGCCGTTCTCGAGTTTTTAATGCATTCAGACGGACGGACGAAGCTATTTCAATAGATGCTCCGCGGGGATGCGAGCCATTGATCACCATTCTACAGATACGAGGAGATAACTCGTTTTTCACCGGCAGGTGAGCCGGTTTCTGGAATCGTCTGACTTGGCCTTGACGCCCGGCGCCCCGACGCCCGCCCTGGACCCGGCCATAAAGCAGCGTCTTCTGAGACACCTGGACACCTGCGTCGCCGAACTAGACATGGACTTCTGTCCGGAGGGCGACAGAGACGCTGTTAAGGCAGAAGCGGACAGCGAGGCGCGTCCTGACAGCAGCACCACGGTCGGCGGCGACGAGAACAACAATGGTAAGGCGGTGACGTCACACTTCCTTGTGCTCTGGCTTCATATCCATTTACGTCTCTTCAGATCAGATGT